TTAAAGATATTATCCAAAATAAAATTTATTACTTCTTACAATAGAACTTTTGGTTTTAGAATTTTTCTATAAATCCCATGTCATTACGTGTGATCGTTCTCATATATAGATAGATTTTGATTTTTTTCAAACAAATATAAAAGAATATTTATTCTCTATTCTAATAGATTCATTCTATAGAAATAAATTTTATTCAAATAAATCCATAATAATTATTAGATATTATTGCATGAGAAAAATAATTTTTCAAACGTTCAGTTATTTTGAATTCACCAGAAATATGTAAACGATTGACTTTATTAGAATTAATTCGTGTTGCATTTCTTTTAAAATTGCGTGTAACTTTTTTTAAAGATTTATAATTAAGAGAGAGATAAACACCATTTGTCAAACATGTTTTGGTATCAAGTAGAAATTCTTCAATATAATCATAATGAGTATTATATAAAGTAAGGTTGGTAAGATAAGGATATTCAACGATCGATAGATGTTCGATATTCTCTTTTGATTTTCTATATTGTTTATTATTTTGTCGTTTCTTATTATATAAAGTTAATTTTTCCATCAATGGAAATGATTTTTGAATACGAAGAAAAAATTCATGTTCAAAAGGATGTTCATCATATAATGATACTTGACGAACACATTTAAATAATCCACCTGGAAAATTATTTCTTATATAATAATAATGTCTCAGTGTATATGGATATGAATAGATATGATATTCACCGCATTGCGTCTCTCGAAAATAATTAACACAAGAAATAATTTGATTATAATTAAAATCTTTAAATGAATATTGAATATCTTCATTTGATGGTAAATTAATTTTATTGTTAAGATGAATAAATGAACAAATGCTAAATAAAAATTTGTTTAATTGTGGCATATGATTGACAATGTCCTTGAAATGATTTCCATCGATAAATGTTTTTCTCTTGGAGACTGGAAAATACAACATGAGTATTTCTAAATTTGACATTCGATGTAAAAGTGGTATGATTATTTCATCGTACAAATCTAATTGCTCAGCAGAAGATAATGAAAAACATTTTAAATTTGGTAATTTTTCCTAGAAAAATACATATTGATCAATTTAAATTTCTTTCAAAATTAAGAATTTATAAAAACATACTTTATTATTGATTTGTAAGGATTGTTGACGAGAATACGCTGATCCTGTATGAACATAGAATGTATGAAGTTGATTAAATCGACCATCAAGTAAATGAAGACAATCGATAACAGACGATACCTTGACATGCAATGTTAGCAAAGTCGAAGAGAAAATGGTTGGAGATGACCAATTGAATGATATATATTGATCACAAATAAAAGATGGATTAAAATTTAAATATTTTAAATTGGGAAAATTTTTAAAGATATTTGTAAATATAATTATATTCATATTTGGTTCGTAACAATTTTTGTCAATAATTTCAATCACAAATGATAAAATTTGATTTTTGAATAGATCAGTAAAAGTAATCGCATCTAAACATAAAGACAAAAGTATTGAGAAAATAAATAATTTTTAATATGGTTCTATTTGAAATAAAAGTATCTTACCAGTAAAGAGAGATAAAGCAGCTTTCATTTTAATATTATATATACCAAGTCCATTGAGATTAGGATAATTTGTAGAAAGAAGAATACGTTTCATAGATAATGATTCAAGAGTAAACCATTTTATTTTATGATCAATCGAGGGTAAGATTTCCGAACAAAATCGATCTAGTAGTGAATCAGGTAATGAATAAGTAGAATCATCCGACAAATATTTTAATAAAGTTAAATCACTAGTAAATATTGAATCATGTACAATTCTATTTAATCGCTTATTGACATTGAATAAAGAGGAAAGTACTTCGACATTGTTCAATTTTTTCAAAATAATCAAAAGAATTTCATCGGATAAATCATTCAATTGAACACATGAATATGTCATGTTTATTTTCACCTATATTTATTTATCTAACCTTATAAATGTCAATCATTCTATATTTATAGACTAATCGCTCATTCTATTTGACGGGTATCATCAATGAAAACAATGATATATTTTTATATCGTCCAATGCTGCTGTAAATAGATAATGAGTGAATAAATGAATGAACGAATGACATGACATTATTTAAGGCGGTTGACTGTACGAAGTGTAGAAGCCGACTTGTTGCTTTTGGATAGCTTAGTTGCTATGGAAAATTCTTCTTCTTCTTCTTCTTCTTCTGCTCTACAGATGAGTCACGATTTAACTTAGCTACTTGTTCTCAGCACTTGAGCATGATTTCGAAACGAGGAAAAGCTTGTTTTATAGTAAAATTAATTCTTTTTTAAGAATAATTATCTTTAAATTCTCTATTAAAATACTTTATAAAGAATTTATATTAGACTTTCGATAAGACGATAAAACCGCCAGATTGATCCGAACAATACTATATTTTGTCCTTACAATAGTGAAGAAAACCTTTTTTGATTCATTTTTATATCTAAATTTCATATACGTTGAAATTTAAATAACTTGCTCTAGGCACGCCAATGGCCACTCATATTTTAAATTGATTAGTCTCTCGATGAGAATGATCTTGTCACCTGAACATGTTCAGTCAATTCAACTGACAGTACACACGCCTCCCGTTCTAAATTGAGAATCACATATTAATGTATCGTCACTCGATGTATTTCTCGTCATTTCAGACATTATCAAATGAATATGTCAATTATAAATAAATCAAGTCACGCATAATAATACAAGTTTTTTTCTAATACATAAATAATCAATAAAAATTTATTCTTAAATTAAAATAATTACCTATTCATACATCGATCATGAACTTGTTTTAAGTTTGATTAGTATTAGGAAGAGAGAAGATAGTCATCTAACCTATATATAGGAATACAAATCTCAACTCCATCTATTTAGCATCTATGTCGTTGCCTCGAAAATTCCTTTTAATTACATTATATTATTGTACATTTTTTGTAAAGATTCCTAAAGATGATTTATTAGATAATGATTTCATCTTGTATAATATTATATTAAAAGACGTCTTGATTTGAACTCTTTTGATTTGTGAAACCCACAGATTGTTATCTATTGTCATTCTCGAGATATTTGTCTTAAACTCATTCCTACTTAATTCTGTCGCCAACAATAGTTGAACTAATATCAACGATCGAACTTTTCTCATGTAATCTCGGAGATTGATGAAAATTCGATTTAATCATATTCAAGATCCATATGAATTAACGTGTATAAGTGAGATAACGTGACTCAGAATGAAATTCGCATTAAATCTATTCGATAGGATAAACGTTCTATTCGGTAATTCAGTTAATATAGAAAGAGATTATTAAAGTTGGTTGTTTTATTGTCGTATATGGAATTTAATAATTATTATCGATAGAATGTTAAATATCTATTTGATGATAAATGTTAAATGAGTTAATCAGAATTGAAAATAATCTATTGAAAATATTACTTTTTCGAAGAAGAATTGTTTAATGATGAATATCGAAATCGATTTTGAAATAAAATAAATTGAAATTTCATATTAAATCATATTGAAAGAAAAATGAATTTGATAAAATCGAAAAGAATTTTATTGAGAAAAAAAAAAGATGAAGATATATTTGAATATGAAGATAAATATATTTGAAAAAGATGAAAACAAATGACATGATGAAAAAATTATTTGGCAAAAATATATATTTAATCCGATGATGTAAAGCCATCGACACATTAGAAGACCCCCCTATATTAGAAGACCCCCCCTTAAAAAATCGACATTTTGAAATAGTTTCTGGAGTTTATTGACTTGTTTAGTATTTAAGCCCAGAATGATATCGAAATTCGGTACGAACAATATTTTGCTTCCTCCCTCATAACGAAGTATCAGACTCGAATGAGTAAAATCTAGAGAAGCAGTTAATAGGAAACAACTATCTATTGAAGATTGCGTTTCTTTGTAAAAACATATCATGGAGTCATTTTAGCACTTCTTTACAGCTTACTTTGAAAACATTCTTCAGGCTCTATACACGAAAAACACGCTTTCATAGTCATAGGATCTAATGAACGTAGTGCCCGTTCGTGCATGTAACACATGAAGGGATCTTTGTAGACTAATAACAGATTAGGTAAAATGCCACTTTGTATTAATTAAAAGGTCTCTTTATCTTTGACTTTCTTCTAGAAAGTCAGAAACGTTCTCACAACAAAACAGTGTTTCATAATTGAAGAAAACATGACTTCATGTACAGTCTACGCAAAAAATTCTGGAACACTCAAGAATGACTCTGCAAAATTTTATCTTTCATTTGAAACAAACTTTATATATATTTTAAGTATAGTTACTGGTTAAAGTTTCATATAATATTAAAACTAGAAGTTTTGCATCTGCACAGTAAAGTACGAAAGTTTAACCAGTAACTATACTTAAAAAATATATATAAAGTTTATTTCAAATGAAAGATGAAATTTCGGGGAGCCATTCTTGAGTGTCCCAGAGTTTTTTGCGTAGACTGTATATACGTCAAGATTTGATATGAGAGTACTTCTTTTGAGTTTGAGAACGCATTTCTTTTTTCAATAAGATCCAATGGCATTTTTTGAAACTGACGCAAAAGAAAACACACTGTCTGTATTCAACTGCTGATTTTTTATAGATGGTTTCTTCACAAGACAATCGTATTCATTGAAGTTAGCTTGAGATTAATAACTCTGCTAGTAGCAGAATTCACTGTGAATAGATTCCATATATACTAATCAAATTTCCACATAAGCAACTGAATAAAATGAGTTTGATAAAAAAAATTAATTTTCTTTTTTACATTTATTTAGTTATTGAGAAGGCAAACTGTTGCCAATGATAGGTCTTAGCCTAGAGAAAAAAGAATAGTATGGGATATCGTACCAAGATGCTAGGCTACGTTGACTGTATTGTTCTAAGAACACTTCTTACCAACGATGGTCTCCTCTTTTTCACAGGATGATATCTGCTTCTTTCTTATTCTACACATGTGAAATAAGTGAAGCAAACTCATTTACTAACGATATATTGGACAAAAATCAAGTGAAACTAAGATTTGTTGACGGAACTACCAAAAAATATGACTTTTTTTAGGGACATAATAGAAGACCCCCCTTTTAACTTATGAATGATAAGACAGAATAGAAGACCCCGGGTCTTCTAATGTGTCGATGGCTTTAGATAATGATTGACCTTTTGATAACCATTGTTTACCTTGATTAAATGTTGCAATAACTGAAGTAAATATAGAATTTTTTGCTTGTCCAGGTACTTTTGTTGCTGCTCGAAATTTTTCACTCATAAATTGAGATGTATCTTCAAATGCACCTTTTAATTTTCTACCAGTTTCAATATCATCAAGAACACTTTTAAAACAATATTTTATTTTAGGAAATAAATAAATAAATACATACTGAGCAAAACGTAATTTAACATCAGTTACATTAAGTTGTCCTGCTTGTGGATGTCTAAAAATGAATTTTATATATATATATATAAAATAATAAATAAAAATAATAAAACCGTGAAAGAATTTCATCAATATATAGATAAGGTCCTTTTGATTGCCATAAATGGAATGCATCTGTTGATTGAAATGATTTAACAAATAATCGATTAAAATTATTAATTGCTTCATCATCTTTGACGTTTTAAAAAAACATTAAAAAAACAATATATGAAATAAATGACTTACTAAGAGTTCGAGCTACACATAATAATGATAATAGATAAATTTTAAATAAACGATGTATTTCTTCTTCGAATTGGACATCTTATTTTATTGTTTAGAAAAGAATAAAAAATAAAATAAAATATATAAAAAAAAAACAAACTTGATTGTGAATCTTCAAATAATTGAGTAAATCTTAAATCAGCTGTTGTTAATTGTAATTGTTGTTTTAATAATGGTTATTGAATAATAAAATCTTCATCATAATCGGTTAATATAAAATCAATATTATTTTGTTGACGAAATAAATGATTACTTCTACTAATTAAATATGAATTTATATTTCGATTATTAATTATATCAAGACTATATATTGATATATACAGATGAAGAAGATTATTCTAAATAAAATAAGTATTTAGATTTAATCAAATAATAATAATAAATACTTTTTTAAATAAATCATATGAAAATTGATATTGATCAATTGAATAATTATTGTTAATATTATTTATTGTTATTGATATTGATGATGATGATGTTAAACGATTAAAAGTATCTGTTAATTTATTTGTTATTAATGTAGCTCATTTAAGTAAATTGTTTTTAATATCTTCATTTATTGTTTGTTGAAATTCATTTGATATTCTTGACGATTGATCATCATCATCATTATCATCATCACTAGTTATTTTTAATGGTTTTAATTTAATATTATCAAAATCAATTTGTTTATCATCATTTCTTTCGAAAACAATATCTTTATTTTCATTTAAATTTATTTCATTTTCAATATCACCTCTTTCACCAATTAATGTACATTCATTTAAACCTGTTTCAATTAAATCTTAACAAACATTTTTTATTTTACTTTTTGTTTTTTTTGTCAATAAAAAAATTTCTTAAGAAAATTTTCTTTTTATTTCAATTATCTCGATATAATATCTCTCTTAAGAAGAACATACAAACAAATTCAATCTATTTAAGAGTAAATATCGACGAAAATAAAACTGATTCTAGAATAAAACTGTTACCATTGATTCATCTGAGTATTTATTCGTTACTCGATTGATTATTTTTTATATAAATCATGTTATGAATATAGGAAAAAGACTTTCTATTCTTAATCTCTCTTGTTTATCATATAGACAAATTTGAGAAGAGTTTTCAAGTTAATTCTATTGTTTACCTGACAAGTCAAACAAAAACTCATATTCAAATTTCAACTTAAAAGTTTTGATAAGAAACAGAACTTAATCAGATTTGTTTATTGTTACATCGGTCTAATCGTTTTTATGATCGAAATAATAAATAAATGTTCAATGTTTAAAAAAAAAAAGACTATCCTCATTAATATCTATCGATGTAAGAAGTTCAATTGTAGAAATATTCTAAATGATTTATGATGCTCTTTATTAGATAGATTATGTATTTAACTTGAATAATAATCGAAATTTCGATTAATTCAATATGATAAATAATAAATAATTTTCAATAAATAAAAAACTTTAATGATCATATTATTTAAAATAGTTGCATAGATTTAAAAATAAAAAGCAAACAAAATAATATTTAAAATATGATTTATTATATTTATTTGATTTAAGAGTACTCCCCTCCTCTTTTTTTGCTAAAAACCCGATTTCGAGCTAGGCATAACGTATGATAAGGTCATGTCTCATGAACAATTCGAGACATCATTCGATCCTAAATAGGTTACTATTGCAAAAGTTACCAAACTTTAAAAAATTTATTTTTCATTGGAATGCTATCGAAACTCTTTTTCTTTTACTTAGCATTACGCAAAATAGGAGTTTTCTCAATCGTACCTGCTTACGATCTTCGTCCAACTTTGTCTGATTAGACTGAAATTTTTCCCATAGATACTTGGAAGTATTTTCTAGAGGTAGATTTGACTATCTTTGTTTTTGACCTTGTTATTCGGATTTATAGGATCCTGAACGGCAGTATCCCTACTTTGGATCCGAACCCCTTTGCGTATTACTCTCATAAAAAACAAAGAGATTTTTCAAAAAAGTTTAAAACTACCTCTGAGATATAGTCTAAGGTATCTCGAAAGAAATTTTTAGCCCGATCGGATCAAATTATGTGTGAATCGTAAGCGAATCCGATTTGGTCCTATAGAAAAGCATCGTTCTTCCTGAGAAATGGCGAAAAGATTGTTTAAAATTTTTTTCTTCGAACACGTCTATCCTTATTTTAGATGCTCTCTCTGTAGGAAATATTTCAAGCGATCAGTTGTACTCTCTTCGAAAACTAATATCGGCACCATAAGTCAGTGCATTCGGATGTTTTTCGAATAACTTTCGATAGGAACAAGTTAGAGACCTGCGATTTTCAGCAATCGAAAGAGAAGACATGAGACCGTCTTTTTCTCCGAAAATGTCTAAGACAAAATCTTTTTAAAAGAAATCATCTTCGGAAAACATTTGAAAAAATGCATGAAAATGGTCTCCAGTTCTGATAAAATTTTGAAAAAAAGTTGCAAAATTTAGCTGAAAATCAGCACAGTTTTGTATTATTTGAGTAAGTCAGTAGATGATTTCGTTGGTTCAACGTTAGGAATGTGAAACGATAACAATTAGCATTGTGTCTTGAATTATAGATCTGAATGTCCCTCTATCCAAATCATATGTCAATATAAAAATTTCATCACAACGACTGATCAGTTTCATGCATTTTTTCGAATGTTTTCCGGAGATGATTGCTTTTAAAAAAATTTTTCTCTTAGACATTTTCGGATAAAAAGACGTCCTCATGTATCCTCTTTCGATTGCTGAAAATTGTAAGTCTCTAACTTGCTCTCATCGAAATTTATTCAAAAAAACATCTGAGTACACTAACTTATGGTGCCGATATAAAGAATGGTCAAAAAGGAGGAGAGGTACTCTTTATCGATTATCATTATTATTAGATTTAATATAATATAGGAATCAACTTCTTACATTTTAAATTGATTATTTTCATTTAAAGATTTTTGAATATATTAGAAATATATTTATTGAAATAAATCTTATTTATATTAACCATAAATGATTATTTAATATATTTATTTCGATTTGTTTTTATCAAATAAACATTGCTTTTCTAATAAGGTTTATTTAATGAAAAGAAAAAAAAGACAATTGTATTAAATCTAATATGAAAATATTTGTTTATTTTCTTTTTCGAAAATCTAATCATTGATAAAGATAATATATATGTCACAGGCAAAATTAAACTTAGGTCAAATTAGTTTTAGTAGGCGCGAAAAAGGAAAATTTTTTTTATTGATTGTTGATCTGACTATCAATAGAAAAAAATAATTATTCGTTTACATAAACTGTAAATAAAAAAGCAGAACATTCATTTTCACATATGCCCCAAGGCAAAGCCGCTCGGTCGGATTCTGTCGGATGGATTTCAAATCCGTTTGAATCCGACGTTTCAGACGTAATCCGATCTGGATTCCTTTGCACAGGATTCCGACGCAAACTGGAACGGATCCGATCGGTTTTTAACGGAAGACGTCGGATTCCGATGCAATCCGTTTCGGATCCGATGGTTGCCAGTAAGATCCACAGGTCGGATTCAATCTCTTGGGTATCTCGATTTCTCCAAAAAGCATCCAAGAGATTCAAACCAAGGAAAGCCGCTCGATCGGATTCTGTCGGATGGATTTGAAATCCGTTTGAATCCGTCGAACGGATATTTTCCGACGTAATCCGGTCCGGAATCCTGTGCAAGGAATCCGACGCAAACTGGTTCGGATCCGATCGGTTTTAACGGAAGGCGTCGGATTCCGATGCAATCCGTTTCGGATCCAATCGGTTTCCGGTAGGATCCACAGATCGGATTGAATCTCTTGGGTGTAATCGTATCATAAGTACAGTGATGACTTCTCATTCAACAGCAGAAATTGAATCTCGAAAACAATTTTATGAACAAGCAAGTAAACATCTTTAATCTTTCAATAGCAGATTTAGAGAAAAGATTGTACTCATGCAAGGCATGAATGAAAAGATTATTCTTCGTCGCCTTACGAATAAGTCTTCA